AGAATATAAATGTCTTAACACAGTAACTAAGAAAATGCCATGAAGACTATGTTAACCAGTTTGACGAAAATATTTCAGGTTGTATATAGAACCAGCACACTGTACCCCATGACTGCATTAATGTACACAGCTATGATTTAATTAAAAAAAAAAAGAATTTGTTGGCAGGATTAGCCCCAGAAATAGCATAGTGGCTATGAAACTAAGTATTGGTTGTCAAACCAATTAATAACATACATATAATTAAATTTGAAACATGTAGTTTTTGCATGTAATGCATACAAGATATATTACCAAGTTTTGAAAGTATGAAAAGGAATCTCATTAGCAGAGAAATCATCAAAGTAACAATGCTACCTAGAGTATTCCTGCTTTAATCCTAGCTATAATGTAGCAACTGTTACCCTATTGTTAGTAGATACTCTTTTGGAATTTTAGGTAGAGTAATTTTAAAGCGGTAATACAAAGAGCAAACATCAACTGAACCATTCCTCTACGTGCTTAAGGACTTTGCTCCTTTGAGGCTTATCACAAATTTTTGTTGTCATCTCTACCAATGTGTGAACAGAGATTTAGAAAAGATAAATAAATTGCTTAGGGTCACATTCTTGGAAATTTTAAAATCAGGAATTAAGCCCAATCAAGAACTGAGCTCTTGTTCATTTACTGGGTGGTCTATTGCACTGAAGAAATAGAATAACAAACACTTAAAATTTGGTAAGCACTCCTCCCATAGCTCCCTCTCCTACCTTTCACCTAGTCCATAACAACTCCTCCAATTCCCTCCTTAACATATTCTAAACCTGCTGACTCAAGTATGTTTTATAGTTACCATTTAAATATTGTGAAATAATTTGGCAGAATGAAAAACATCCCACAGGGTTGAAATATGAGAATTAGCATTCTCTGGTGTGGATAAAAGAGATAAGTCAGCAGATAAATTCCTTTATCTCTTAGACAGTGGTTTGAGTGGCTTCATGATTTTAGTACAAGTTCTGCACCTCTCCACTTTCAGCTGAGAAAACTTGATAATCACTTTCATCCCTTGAATCCAAACGTGGCTACTGCAATTTTAAAGAAAATAGCTCTGCACTGTTCTCTGTACAAAGCACCCCCCTACTTTGGTAGTTGGATGTTTTGAAGACAACAAAGTGCATTCTGTATTTTGAAACATTCTATTAATGGTTTCTATGAATATGCAATTAATACCTAAGGTCAAGACAAGAGTCTCTCTCCTATCTTTGGTGGTAGAGGATGTGTGGAGCTGTGTAAAGGTGGGGGAATTTATCTTGTAGGTGTGTAAGAACAACTTAAAGAAAAACCTGGTGGAGAGTTTAAAGAGTGAATGCAGAAAGAAAATGACACAATATTGAATAAGGACAATACTGAAAATTTTAGTCAAAGATTAGGTTAAAATTCCATCTCTGACATGTATAAGCTATATTCCTTCCAGAAGTAGAATAGATGGTTTTCTTACCTACAATAGTAGGGTTAGTAAAACTTGATCATATAGAGATATTCTGAGGAATAAATGAGTTTATGTAGAACGCATGCATGTACCCACAACACAGCAAGTGCCAGATATATGATAGCTTTCATACCTTATATTACTCATTTGTGGATAATAGTATTTACCTGATAGGGGTTTTGTAAGAATTGGATGAGTTTCTGGACAGATGGAGTTCAGTATTCTGTACTAATCAAGCTCCTGGATGGATTATTTTGTTCTTGGTCAACCCAATTTAGCAGAAATATTAATTCATTTCTAAAACTCAGTTGCAGAATGTACACATTCCCACATGGCATCCTACCTATCTACTCCAATGCAGTTTGCATTTTTTTTTTGTAATGGACAAGTTTTATTTTTATAACTTGTCTCAAATAATAATAAATGTCATTTTGAGAAGAAAAAAAAAAAAAAAAAAGAGGAATTCTAGGGAAGTCTGGCCACAAGGGGGAAGTAGAAGAACTTGCTGAGGAAATCCAGCAGCGTTTTTTCTTTGTTTAATTTCTCCTTTTCATTTTTTTTTTTCTCTCACTTCCCCAGTTTTGTTTGGTAGCTTGTCTTGCAGCCTTCCTGATTCTAAAAATACCTTCATAGGCTCTATCCTTGGGAACTTTGTCGAAGTCAACCACCTTTTGATAACAGCGTGATGCCTGCAGGGTGAGGTAAGTGGGGCCTCGCTGACAAGGCCGTTTTGGAGTCCAGGTCTGCCCTATGGATTGTAAAGCAGTAATTGCTCACTGTCGCACCATCTCAGTGTACCTAATAATCGACTAAGAAATTTTCTTTTCACAGTAAGATGGCCCGGAATAAGAGCTCGCATAAACCCTAGCTGGCTGAAGAGTCCCTGTTCGGGTCCTGCACTCTCAGGGAACTCCTTCTCCAAGTTCACAGGCTTCCTCTGGATCTACTGAGTTATTCCTCCTTTCCAAAAGAACTAGAGGCTCTTTTAGAAAAAGGCATTCTCTTTGTCTGTACTTACTTAATGTTTAAGCTTTGGGCTTCACAGATTCAATCAATTATTTTCAAAGTTATTTGTTATTTTTATTTAACTAGTTTGT